CAGCAGGTCAGAGGGAGAGAGAGAACGCAATGCAAGACAGATGGGGTGGTAGCAAAGAAACCAAGCTTACATTTTAGACTCCACTAGAAATCGCCTCTGCTGGCTGAGACCTTCTGCTTCAGGAAGTTTCCTGATCAATAGTGAAATGTGGGATCATTTTAGTGTCAGTGGTTTCCAGTATAAAACTGTGTGACATTTACACAGATTTCTTTATACCCGTACCAAACAGGAGTACACATTTAAGACTAATCCCACTATATGTTTGCAGTACTGCTTAGAGAAATGTTGGGAATTATGGATGACCAGGAGAAGGAGAGAAAAAGATCACCCAGGAGACCTTTGCAATTATATACTTTGCATAGTTAATAAAAAGTTGTAGAAACAGACCAAGACTTATGTTATAGATTCATAGATTTTGTCTAATGTGTCATTATTACAGGTTAAGACAGAATGCTCCATTGTTAAGATCACTAAGAACTTCTCATACTCTCTCTCAGTACATTCAGTTTATTCAATCCATTCAGTGTGCCTATAATTTACATGTTGCAAATTCCTGGTTCTTTTCTCCTGTCCAGCTTGGCAAAGAAAGCTTCTTAATCACAAAAGATTAATGAGTTAGAGTATGTTCAATTCAAGCCTCATAGCCGAAGACGACTATGTGTGGAATCAAAAGCATCTTTGATAAAAAGGTCCACCACCACAAAAAGAACCTGTTAAGATTGAAATCCATGGAGTATGTAACAATTTGAAAAGGTGGGATTTCACAATATGAAAGAAGAGAGATTAATGCTCTAGAAGCTCCAGTCTCTACTCACTTTGATTTACTTTACAACATAAGAAAGCCAATGAGAATAACCTAGATATAAATATGTATTATATACAGTATTGGAGTACTAGCCCAGATAAACTGCCTTCTGAATTTTAAGTGTTTAAAAAAAAAAAAGTGTTCCTTCAACAGTTCAAGGTAAGTCATCAACATAAATATAAGAGAAGGTGTTTTCACACAAGTCAGCGCACTGTGTGTGTTAAATGTAACTCCATTAAAAACACCACATTTTGTATTATGTAAGAGAGGCCTTTTTTAAAGTTTTGTTTTTCTGGACAGAATAATTTTAAATAGCACTTTGCACTCCAAACAATTATTTTTCTTAAATTCAAAAGTAAACTTTATTTCAATCAGCAGAAACTCAGTGTCAATATTATGCTACTTGCTGATACATGGTCTAAAGATACTCTGTTTGCATGAGAAAAGGAAATCTGCTTTAACTTTATGACCTTGACCAAGGGAGAATTTATTTTCTTCTCCTAAATAAAAGCTATTTTTACTGTACAGTAAGATAATGCATTGTTTTACCCTTCTTAGTAAAGCTGTTCTACTGATTTTATTTAGCTTTTCTAGTCCATTCCATTCCTCTCTTTTTATACATGTTCTTAAAAAAAATATTTATTGTCAACAAGATGTAGAATGATTGAGCAACTTAATTAGAGATCTCATATAGTGCAGTGTTCAGTAATTATCGAAATATAACAAGAATTTTAAAGGCTGCCACTGAAACTAAGCTTCTTGTCATTAAAAAATTAATGTCTAACAACTTGCCTATTTACATGCCAGTAGTGGTCCAAGCCCTCTGGCTGATACGGAAATGCATGTAGCAGCAAAATTCCTATGGGTACCTTTCCATTCAGAAGCAGCAGCTATAACCAGATAAAGATATCAAGACTGTGTATTTTTGCTAAAACACTACTACTGATTACAGTTCAGAAGTAGATTCATGATAATTCCAAGCCAAACTTACCTGAAAGTTTAAAAATGCAGAACAGTGTTCAAGGATTCTGAGCAAGTTAATTGAGCACTGAATTTCCACATTTTGATGCGTCAGGAAAAAATCTTGTTCTTTGAAGCAGTAACGCTTGGGGTAAGAATATTTAATTGACCTTGCAATGTTCAGCCAGTGTAGAGAACATAATTACAGATTATGCCAACACAATGAATAAACATCACTGTAGAACACATTTCTAGGAAGCCACTGATGGCAAAATCCAGAAAAAAATATGCATGATAAAATGAAAAAAATATTCTGGGTATAAGCTAATTCAGGGGGGAAAAAATAAAAAATTGTTTTCCCCAGTACGAGTACCCAAGACACCCCTCTTCTATGTATTCTCCTTAATTCCTGCATGAGCTGCTGGAAAACTTCTAAAGGAATGTTTGCTTCTCCTCACATATAGGTGGATGAGGAACCAGTGGGTAAGAAATGTCTGTATAAATAGAAAGAAGATAAAATCTTTTCTCTGCTAACCCACAGAAATAGTAGCCAGGGTACTGCTAATAGGGGTAGTAATTTGCTTTAGTGTATGTTCACTGTGATCAAACCAGGGAGCAAGTGCACAGTTCAGAGAGTTAAACATTCACAGTCCTGCAATTAAAGAACAAGTAAATATATCCAATTTTGTTTATATTTTACTGTTACAATCTGATATATTAAAAACCCTGTCAATACATACTGAGTCCTTTTAAGGAATCATTATGTGCAAATTGACTTAGAACCTGTGCTGGTGCTCAACAGCACTATTAAAATTAACTTCCTGGCTCCTCCGATGCCCCTACAACCTTCCCTTTTTTCTTTAAAGCCCCTGTGTCTGTGCTAGTGCAGAACTTTAGTAGTTTGCTTAGACTTAACCCCTAGCAAAGGATTCATCAATAACAATACAGAAATAACTTTCCAAATACATACTTGCAATAAGATTTTTTGAGGTTCACGTGCAAACAAAGTCTGACGAAACCACCAACTTCTTCATTTTTGGATACAACCACACCTAATGACAAGCAGAATAGAAGGTTCCAAATGAAAGGGGTTATTGTACTGGGGCACTTTACATAGACATTTACAATTACTAGGTACTCTTGTGGCAAAATCACTTACTAGTCTGTAACTGATTCCCACTTAAATGTGAAATAGATGTCAGAAATTTCTGAGAGAAAATGCCACTCACCTTCTTTTGCTGTCTGTTTCTCTTGATCTATTGGGAAGCCAAGTGGGCTAACCTACTAATTATTATTTCAGGTCAAACCACTAATAATTCAGTGGGTGAGATATCTATACAGGTGGATGTCTCTACTCATCCTGGAACTGGTGAACATAAAGTCACTGTAAAAGGTAAGTTTTAAATAGCTAATTTTTAAAAGAAAGTAAAGAGAAAGTCCAAAACCTCCAAGCACTACATCCTAAGGAAAGCACACCAATAATGAAATAAAAAATGTTAAGTATGACAGTACTTGTAAAGCTATGAGTAAGCTTCAGGTGATTAGGATCATACTTCTTCCTTGCTCAACCATAAGCAGAAGTGAAGATTATGCAGGTAAGTACTGTCTATGCCTCTCTGTGTAGACAGTTAAAATTTCTTATAAGTAGTTAATAGCATTGTAAATCCAAATGTGCCAAGTTACACTTCTGAAGTTGTTGCATTAAATTTTCTAAAAGGTGTAGCAAAGCTGGGTGTGAATGACCACACCAAGATCTAAAATGTTCCATTTTTAACAAAATGCCTTTGTTCTGCACAACCTGAATTCCAGAGGAAATCCAGTATCATTTGCATTAGTATAAGCTGATTTTTTAATTATAGTAAAGGTAAAAGACAAAAGAGCTGTTAATGTAAAGCATTTGCAAAATATATGTTTATATTTGCTCCTGTTGTGACTGAAAGTAGTCATCTTACAGAGAACAGGCAAAGCTGCTCCTTGGCTTGCAAAGTATTGGTATCCTGTAGGAAAGCTCTCAGGTTTCACTGGCTATACAAAGTCATACTGGATAATTAAATGCAGCGCTTCAAATGGAACTTTATTTAACTTATTTCTTTTATTCTCTATAGTTGTAGCAATTAATAACCTAAACTGGCAAACAACAGCTATGTTCCGGCCATTTGTGGAAGTTTGCATATTAGGTCCTAACCTAAGTGACAAGAAAAGAAAACATGGAACCAAGACAAAGAGCAACACCTGGTCACCAAAATACAATGAAACTTTCCAATTGTAAGTCTTTTTGTCTGTTAATTGCATGTTTTATGAAAATTTTGTTAGAATTTCTTGCAGTTAAACCAGTAAGAAGGTAAAAAAACATCTTAAGGCCACTATACACATCGGAGTCCATAGATGTAGACACCACTTCAAAATTATTTAGTAATTTGTGTCTTTGTTTCATATGAAGATGAATGACAACCACTAAGTTTTCAGTCTTACAAAAGCTGGTTAAAATGGACAATTAATGTCCCTACACAGTAATAACTGTTTACACACGTAGGAATCTATTTGCCTCAGTAGCTATCTGGACTGAAGCACTAATTATTACTGCTAGGTATCAAGGCTGTTATGACTGTTGATATATCTAAATAAGTAAAGAGTTGTGCATGTGTTAATGGTATTATTTATCTCTATTATTTAATCCTTAAAGTGATAGGAAACTTTCACCTGACCTGGAGTTTTAAATTTAGTACTTCTCAAAGCACCTCTCGCCTGTTTACTCCTCCTCCACCTTCATAATAAAGACCAGGTCAGTTTTCCTCCCCTCACGCCCCACCCCAGCTTTCTCAGTGTCACAAAGCTGCTTTTGAGGCTTGCTGCCAGTGATTGTCTTTATTGTTTGCAGCTGATTTAAAGATGTGGTTATGATAGTTGTGGAAGTAGTTGAACACTTTAGGTACTTCCTAGAGAAATGAACAGATTATTTTACATATTGAGGGAATGACGAATCCTCTGTTTCTGTTCAGGTCAGTGGGAAGAGAGGCCACATCATCAGTACTATCTGAAAGGTTAACTGTGTAGAAGGTCTAAGAATAAATAGTATTCTGTTGCAACAAAATGGAACTACAAAAATTAAACTACCACTAACACTTTAATTTTTACAAGGTTTCTAAAGTACCTTCCTTCCTTAGGGGAATTAAACTTAGCTCCTTGTTCTAAATTCCTATTTTTAATCCATGCAGCATCTTGAGTAACGAAGATAAGCCAGGAGCCTACGAACTTCACCTCTCAGTGAAAGATTACTGCTTTGCTAGGGAAGATCGCATTATAGGAATGACAGTTATTCAGCTGCAAAACATAGCAGAGAAAGGTAGCTGTGCATCTTGGTACCCCTTGTTGAGAAACATCTCTGTAGATGAAACTGGGTTAACCATTCTTAGAATACTTTCTCAGAGGACCAATGACGAAGTTGCTAAAGAATTTGTAAGGCTTAAATCAGAAACAAGATCTCCTGAAGAAACAGCCTAAAATATCCAAGTAATGCAAGATTGTCACCGCCAAGAACATAGATACAACGCTGTTGTCCGAATAGTGCATGCATGTGCAAATCTGTGGGAATGTTTAACTAACTGTTTTCAGTGTTTGCCAGTACTTATATTTGCAAAGTATGTCATGGAGCTGTATATCTTTTATACATATTTTGGTCTTTGGTAAAGTAATTGTTCCAATGAAGTGCCAAAACTAAGAGTAAATGTTTCATCGTATCTTTTTAAATGTTGATTTCACTTCCTCACAATTCCTTTATTTTTTAACATTTATTAATAAATAATTAGCTTTTTTAATTAATTAATAGGTTGTTCTCTGTTAAACTACTGTGTTGCTTATTCTAAATTAAGTTACCTCCCTGTCTCTTATTTTAAAAAAGATATAGCTAGTTTTCTTCAGACTATCATTTTATGCAAGCCTCATCTTAGGTATCTTACTAATAACTTTTTCTATCATTACTACAGATGCAGTTACTTATAGAAAGTGTTTGTAATTTTATAATTACCAATATAAAGTAATGATTTTTGCATAAAAACTGAAAAAGGATGGAAATATTTTATGCTAATCTTTTTCCAGCCTTTCATAAATATCACTGTGAAGAAATGCTATTAAAGCAAGTTCTCAAGAAGCTGTGCTTATCTGAGTTTGTTACTGATGTTTGATATCTTGAGATAACTTTGTTCTTCAAAACTGCCAAGGTAATATCATATTTGTATTAAAAGAGTAAGTCAGTATCTGTAGAACAAGACTGCCATAAAGTACAGTATATGTGCTTTTGAAAATCATTTTTTTAAATGATATGGTACTGTACAAGGGTTAGTAGTCTGGAATATGTAATACCGGTTTGTGGTTTGTTTCTAGAAATTGTTTATGAAAAGAAAAGATGCTGTTAGCATTTTCACTCAGAGTTATTAATGTTGCTTTACATACTTAGCTGTAACATCAGTTAAGTGCTTTATTTCTTTATTTTTTTTAGAAAAGTTCAAGTTTGTACTTATGCAACATTACTATGTATTGCACTAAAGCAAACTCAGTGTCCTGTAAATATATTTGGTGAGAAATTGTAAAATAAAGTATGAAGAAACTGCTTTCTAGTTTTGACATTTGATATTTTTTATGTACCTATAGGATTTATGTGCATGGGAAGCCCATGCAGTGCACTTACACTATAGCTTTATAATATATCAAAGTAGGATTTCCAGTGTCTAGCATCTGTCTCTCTTATAAGTGTAAGATTTGATGTGTCAGTGTCCTAAAAAACTGTAATAAATGAGGTGTTCAAGGCCAGGCTGGATGAGGCTTTGAGCAACCTGGTCTACTGGAAGGTGTCCCTGCCCAGGGCAGGGGAGCTGGAACTCGATGAACTTCAAAGTCCCTTCCAACCCAAACCATTCTATGATTCTATCATTCTATGATATAATGTTCTGTAATAATACACATAATGTCCTGTAATAATACGCATATTTGTCATTGGTTTTGGTAACAAGTGTTTCTAATAACACAGGTCAGAGTTTTCAGCTTTGCTTAGGGAAAACATAAATAATAAGAGAAGAGTTATAGCTTTTATATATGCTGATGCCAGTCTTTTAAAAATCTATATGTGACTCCACATAGGTAAACCAGATTCTTTCCAGGATATCCTTTTGTGAATTTACATGAGATCTTAAGGATGTCTTTCAAGACTCCCAATCCTCTTGCTTGAATACTAAACAATAGATTTGCCAGAAGTATATTCAGACATCTAGAGAAGGTCTGCAGAGCCTTTAGAGAGTTAACAATATTTCACTAAGATCATAGCAGGGAGGGCATAGGACTTAAATTACCTTATTACTGTATATACTGTTGATGGTTGTGCACTGCAAAATACTATAAAATGGCACATATTTTGGTGCATAAGGTGTTCACCACCCACTCAACTATTTATCCCTGAGATTCCCCTATAAAGGAATAACAACTGAACTTGTCAAGGAGGTCAATTTCTGCTCTTAGTGGTCTCCCTCATTGCACACACTAGACGTAATCAGGCAATCTGGTAAAGCAAACCCTTACTATCTACAGCTTTAAACAGCACACCTTAGCATTTCACTATTTTTAACAGAGCATCAAAATTTGTCATGTGGAAGAGAAGAGGAAAAGACGTTAACTCTACATCACAGGGCTGGTTTAACATTGCTATGAATCAAAATGGAAGTATATGCAACGGAGTAGCGCAAGCAGGTCAAACTCAGACATTTCACACAGTAAGCATGATTGATATGGAAAAGGTTTCAGTGCTATTTTAAAAGCTGTTATAGTCTCATTTAGGGAAGTAAATGTTCCATTTAAAAAATAAGTAATTTCAATTTCTGACAACATTTTCTTAATTCAGCTGAGCTAGCCATAGTGAACTGACAGCTGTTTCTGCAGTTTCACTTCTCAGTGACAACAGATGTCATCAAAATTCTGGTTGGAATTCCATTTGTATTGGTTTGTTAAGACAGTGAATATAAATACATACACTTACTTAAGGAAATAAAGGAGAAAAAAAGACAGAGGAGAACAGCAAAATTAATTCAAGAACAAATTTTCCATTCTCCAAGGAACAGTTACTACATGAAAAGCATGCACCTGGAAAAAACAAATACATGTAGAGAAGCTTGTGACATGACAGCACATCAAATTAACCAGTATACTTGGAACTGTCCATTTTATATAACTCTGTTCAATAAGGGTAAAGAGAGACATTTTTATCCTTTTATTTTGTTTTCTAGGATGGAAATGTAATAGCCAAATATAGGGAGCTGAATTAAGATTTTCCTCAATGTGCTTCATAGCTAATATCTGTCAAAAAAAAGGCATTGGTAATGTGTGAATTAAATACATAAAGATAAGATTAATACTAGCAGACATTCTGAAATCTAAAATAATTTTGTCTAATGACATATTTAAATTACACCAGCATTAAGAACACAGCACTTGAACTGGCCTTTAGTCTTTTCATATGGGACTCTGAACGCTGGAAACTGATAAAATACCGATGGAAAAAAATCTGTCAAATGGAACTACAGCTGCATGGCTCTTTGTATACTTTAATCTCTTTTGGGCAGTTAATTTTGCGTCAAAATAATAAGGTGCTGGTCCATCACCAAGACACTCAACAAGTCCCAGCAACAAACTGTGAAAATATTTTTCAAATTATTTCCTCGCTATTGGCTGTTACCTGTAATTTTTCTATGAAAGTAAATCTAGACTTCAGTAAGATTTCAATCTCCTCTTATGTCGCAGAAGTTCCATCACTGAAAATCCCCTAAGATGTATTTTACTGGATTGTAAATAAATATAAAAATTTTTTCTGTACCCTGGAAGAATCAAGAGATCCTTTAGGAAGAATTCAAAACACATGCGCAAATGCCATCATTTGCTTTAGTGATCACTCTAGCTATATTCCCCAAACATGTTTTAGTGTATTCATAACTATTTCCTTTGTGCAGCTTCCTCACAGACATTTTCATTTAAAAGAGAGATCATTTACACAAGCTTACTTAATACAAGTATTCTACACTTAAAAGGAGAGTTAATTCCAAGAAACTTATAAGTTATTACATTTGCTTCCCCTATGAATTAAAAAAATTATTAACACAACCTATTCACGTGAGTTGTTAATAGCAACTGCTGGCCACTATAAATCTCACGTTAAAGGAGAAGGTGAATTGCTTTATTTTATTGTCACTGTTGTTTCCAGAAGAGGACTCTCTGGCAGACAAGCATCTGTTCTCAGTGAAGGCAATGGGAGCTTTGTCCAATGGCTGCTCTTCAGTCATTCCCTTCAAGCTGAGCAATTTAGCTTGAGTTACTGTAACCACTCAGGATATGGTTTTCCAGTTCACAGGTTGAACGGAACTTTGAAACACATTAAAAGCTAAGGGGCTTACTCAGAAATACACATCAGAGGGAAGTTAAACACCTCCTCTGAGTGTGGATGTGTTTTGATAAACAGATGTTATCTTGTCAGGGCTGTTTGTGTCACTAGGACAGGTTTGCACAATAGAAGGGATTAAGGTGCCAAATGCCTGCCCTAGAATCACAGAATAACTTGGGTTGGAAGGGTCTTCTGGAGAACATCTGATCCACCTGACTCAGAGCTGGACCAACAAAAACAAGCTGTTACATGGAGAACTGCAAAACCAGCTTTACCTTCACGTTTTGCACCTTAAGATAGATGCAACTAGGATGCTAGAATAAGTCTAACAAACAGCTCAAATCATAGCTGTGACATATGACAAACAGTACATAGATATAAACAGCAGCTTCCATGACTCTACAGCTAACCTGAGGCTGAGCGGGCCTCTAACAAAATTAGCATCATGACCTTTTAATAGTGATAATTACAAAATCTGCACAGGGTCTCAGTATAAAGATCTTTCATTATGAAAACAAGACATAACAAAATTAGAGCATGGCTGAGTTTAGGGATTTAATCATTACAGTTAATGTTAATCAAGAATATAATTATTATTTTGGTTTTAAGCTCTCCATTAATTCACAGCTGTCCAAAGGCAGCTGTAAATGGTACATCTAATTCTTAACACTATTTTATGGTAAGAAAGAAACTGCACAGAACTGCTTGTAGAGACCTTTCATCCCTTCTGCATGCCCTTTGCTCTCTGTAAATAAACGCATGCTGATTTGCAAGGTGTGATCAGCTGAAAAGCTATTGCATTACTGTATTGAAAAGAAAGACATGTCTAAGTTCTTCTTGCTTATCCATATTGAGAAAAAAAATGTTATATATCAAATGTGCACAACAGGAGAATAAAATCCAGATATTTGAAACTGCAGATTTTTGTAGATGATAATCCAGTACATTTAAACCAAGAAAAGTATCTTCCCTGAGCAAAAGAAATCTGTCTTGAACTTCTGGAGTTAGTATCAGCAAGAGTATCTGGACCACATATACACTGCACATAAAGGACAGCTCCATATGAAAAATTATCCCATCAATTAGTGTGGGAAAACATGTCTACTAGTGTCAAATAGGAAAGAATATCTTTAATTCCAACAGATTATCAACAGAATTACTTGAGAAGCTTACAGAACGGAAATAATATAACAATTTTCATTGTTTTTCTCTAATCTATTTTACTAGTTTTCATTTATATTCTCATGCTAGTGACTGCAGAAATCAAATTTGTAGGCAAATACTGAAAAAAGAAAAATAATTTATCATTAGCGCATTAGTCTGAATTAAATACCCATTTCTTACAAATCCCTTGAAAACCAAAGAGAAGAGCTGAACAAATATGTGGAAAACATTATTATATTAAATTAAATTCAGCTAGCAGACATAAAATTAACATAAATGGATTCAGTGTTATTTCTG